CCATCTTAGGCTCCTGCCCGCCACCTCCCCCCCTGGCTGCCCCTTTTCCCCACTCAGTACTTGATGGCCCAAGCCTCCCCACCAAAAGGAAGACAGTCAAACTTTTCTGGCGGGAACTAAAGCTGGCTGGAAGCCCGGGGTACTCTAGAAGCCGCTTTGGACCCTGCCCTACCCTGTGGGCCTCTCTCGAACCTGTCTCAGTAGACACAGCCCGGCTGGAACACCTGTTTGAGTCCCGGGCCAAGGATGTACTTCCCACAAAGGTAAATCACCTTGACGGGCAGAATTGGGATTTCAGGGGGGCTAAGTTTTTGAAGCTAGTTCCTCATTTCCCACATGGGGAAACAAAAAGAAAGAAGATTTGTGTGAGGCTCTCTAGGAATCAGCAGAGCCCTCATTAGGGCGGTGGTGGCGCACACCTTTAGTCCCAGCACTCGGGAGGCAGAGGCAGGAGGATCACTATGAGTTCGAGGCCAGCCTGGTCTACAGAGTAAGTTCCAGGACAGCCAAGACTGCTTCACAGAGAAACCATGTCTATGTGTGTGTGTGTGTGTGTGTGTGTGTGTGTGTGTGTATGAATGACTGACTGCATGGAGTGGGTACCTGGGTCATGGAGTGGGATAGGTGGTAGGAACAGTAATGACCATCAGTGTGTGTGTGTGTGTGTGTGTGTGTGTGTGTGTGTTTACAGTTTATTCCTTTATTCCCAAGCCTTAAATCTCTTCTCTCCAGTTGTAGATTCATTGGGCTATTCAGAGGACTTTAGAATGCCCTCTTCTTTTTCTTTTTACCCCCCAAGACAGGGTTTCTCTGTGTAACAGCCCTGGCTGTCCTGGAGGGTGCTTCTTTGTAGACCAGGCTAGCCTTGAACTCACAGATTTGCCTGCCTCTGCTTTCCAAGGGCTGGGATTAAAGGCTTAGAGTGTCCTCTGAAGGAACTGCCTCAGCTGGTTTTCCCCATCTTATGCTGCCATTCTCCCAACCTTGCAGAAAGCTGGTGAGGGCCGCCGCACCATGACCACAGTGCTGGACCCCAAGCGCAGCAACGCCATCAACATTGGTCTAACCACTTTGCCACCTGTGCATGTCATCAAGGCTGCCCTGCTCAACTTCGATGAATTTGCTGTCAGCAAGGATGGCATTGAGGTAAGACTACCCTATGGGTAAGAGGAGGGAAATAAATGCCGGCTCTTTCCTTTGGTCAGCAGGAATTTCTAGTCTCTCTGGTGGTGGGCACAGGTGTGCCATTTCTGTAGAGCATTCCCCTAAACCTGGGGCTCCCCTAGAAGGCCTAGGGAGGGAGGGAGACAATGCCTTAGGCCTCTGTGTGGTGGTGGCTGCACCTTCAGAAGCTGCTGAATATGATGCCCACCGAGGAAGAGCGGCAGAAGATTGAGGAGGCCCAGCTGGCCAATCCTGACGTACCCCTGGGCCCAGCTGAGAACTTCCTGATGACTCTTGCTTCCATTGGAGGCCTGGCCGCACGTCTACAACTCTGGGCTTTCAAGCTGGACTATGACGGCATGGAGCGGGTACCGGGGTCATGGAGTGGGACAGGTGGAAGGAACGGGTGAGTAATGGCCATGTGGCCTCAAGGCTCCTTGTCCCTCACACCAGGAAATTGCAGAGCCACTGTTTGATCTGAAAGTGGGCATGGAACAGCTGGTGCACAATGCCACTTTCCGTTGCATTCTGGCTACTCTTCTGGCTGTCGGCAACTTCCTCAATGGCTCCCAGGTAAGTGAAAGCACTTGGGGACTGGAGGTCCGGGCTCTGGAACCAGCTAGGACCAGACTGAGACAGGGCCCTTTCAGAGCAGTGGCTTTGAGCTGAGCTACCTGGAGAAGGTGTCGGAAGTGAAGGACACTGTGCGACGGCAGTCCCTGCTGTATCATCTCTGTTCCCTGGTGCTCCAGAGCCGGCCTGAGTCCTCTGACCTCTACTCAGAAATTCCTGCCCTCACCCGCTGTGCCAAGGTTAGTGCCAGGCAGAGATCCCACTAAGAACGGCTGAAGTACAGTGGGGCACTGCTTCTTGGGGTGAATCCTTCTATCTGGGCTGCTGTGTCAAGGCTTGCTGAGGCTGCAGGCATGTGAGCTATATCCTCTGCCAGTGGCGTGACCACACCCGTTCAATTCTTTGTGTCTATTTAGTTGCCACTTGTCCAAGAAGCCTTTTCTGTTCTTGCTTGGAGCAATTGGACTGGTCTGTCTCTTGTATTAAGCTGTTTTTTTTGTTTTTATTAATGAAAGCAAACATTCTATCACTGAGCTATATCCCCTGTCCACTTCTTACTTTCTGAAACAGGATCTAAGTTGCCCAAGTGGCCCCTGAACAAACACTGTAGCCCAAACTGTCTAGCCTGGACCCAGGGGCACAGCTGAGAACTGGCCTCTTCAAACGCTCACAGGCAGGCATGGCAGTGCTAACCTGAATGTAGCTTCAGGCCTCGGGCAGTGACTTACATAGAGGACCGCTGCTGTGTACTCTCTTGCTTTTTAGGTGGACTTTGAGCAGCTGACCGAGAACCTGGGCCAGCTGGAGTGCCGGAGCCGTGCAGCCGAGGACAGCCTTCGGAGCTTAGCAAAGCATGAGCTAGCCCCAGCTCTGCGTGCGCGCCTCACCCACTTCCTGGCCCAGTGTACCCGCCGGGTAGCCATGCTAAGGGTAGTGCACCGTCGAGTCTGCAACAGGTAAGGCAGGGCCATGAGCAGAGAGGACTGCCACTACCATCCTTTTACCACCGGGTAGGCCTCACTGTCCAAATGGCCCACTCCAACCTGCCTAGGTTCCACGCCTTCCTGCTCTACCTGGGCTACACGGCGCAGGCAGCCCGGGAAGTCCGCATCATGCAGTTCTGTCACACACTGAAAGAGTTTGCACTGGAGTACCGGACTTGTCGTGAACGAGTACTGCAGCAGCAGCAGAAGCGAGCTACCTACCGGGAGCGCAACAAGACCCGGGGTCGCATGATCACTGAGGTAAATGCCCTGCGGGGTCGTGCCTGCCACCCCATGGCTCCTTATCCTTGCTCCTAACCACTCTTCTTGCCCTGTTTAGACGGAGAAGTTCTCAGGTGTGGCTGGGGAGGCCCCCAGTAACCTGTCCGTCCCAGTGGCTGTGGGCAGTGGCCCAGGCCGGGGTGATGCCGACAGTCACGCCAGTATGAAGACTCTGCTTACCAGCAGACCAGAAGACACCACACACAGCCGCCGTAGCAGAGGTAGGACTTGTAGCTGCTGCTAGGGGAATGTGTTCTCATCTACCTTAGCCTGATTTCCCTCTCTCTTCCCTCTCTCGTCTCCCTTAGGCATGGTCCAGAGTAGTTCTCCTGTCACAAACACAGCGGTGGGGACCTCCACTGCATCCCCTGAGGAGACTTCAGGTTCCAGTTTACCCAGTGATCCATCAGATGAGATAATGGATCTGCTTGTGCAGTCAGTTACCAAGAGCAGCCCTAGAGCCTTAGCTGCTCGGGAAAGGAAGCGCTCTCGTGGCAACCGCAAGTCCTGTGAGTATTCCCTTATAAGCCCAGATTTCCTCCCTTACTCCCCTGACCCCCAACCTGTAACCCTGCTCTGTCACTGCAGTAAGACGGACATTGAAGAGTGGGCTTGGAGATGACCTGGTGCAGGCACTGGGACTAAGCAAAGCTCCTGGCCTGGAGGTGTGAGGGTGCTGCCACCAGGAAATCTATCTGGATACAGCTACAGTACAAGAGACTGAGCATAAAGAGGGCCCGAAGCAGAAATCTGGTTCACAAGCCTGAACCCAGGAACCAGTATTGTGAGCAGTATTAGATGTGTGTGTGTGTGTGTGTGTGTGTGTGTGTGTGTGTGTGTGTGTACATGCACATGTATTTTGCATATGTGAGTTCCCTCTTTGGAACAAAATAAAAGTTTACCTAGCTAATCCAAGAGCCTTTTTTCCTCTTTTAAGGTCTCTGCCCAGCTAAGCCAAAAAAGAAGTATCATAGGACTAATTCTTCCTACTTACTGTATGTTATCATCCACATAGCCATTAGCCACATTCTAAACAATTTATTTAGTTATCCTATATTTCAGGCTGCTTTTGGCCCTTAAACTAGGCCCTCACTGCTCCAGGCATGGGGCCATGCAGCCTAACAGAACCAACCAGTGCCCAGCAGTCTGTGGCCACAGTGATGGCTATAACCGCTTCATCTGCCGCCGCTCCTGTCGGCGTTGGCGTTTTTCATTGTGTTCTGGTGCTGGCGCTCCGCTGTCTGCTGTGAACCAGGGGCCCAGCACATTTACCCACAAGAGGTAAAGGGCCCGGCCTGGAGCCTAGGACAGAAAGGGTAACTTGAAGCCAGTTGCAAGGCCTAGCAGGGTGGGGGTGTGTTAAGGACTTTCTTGGGAGGCCCAGCCCTCCAGTCCACGTACCAGAAGCCAGAAGGACCAGATGTAGAGGGAGAAGCAACTGAGGACCTGCACAATGGCTGTCAGGAGGATCACGTCTTTAAGGTGCCTGTGGACAAAAGGAAGGCTGCCAAGGGTAGTAGACCGGCCCGAGGCCTGCCCCCTTCCATACTGTTCAAGCTGAAAGTAGTTGGGAGTCTTGGGCTGTGTGGGCCCCAGCGCCCCAGCCCTGGGGCCGCTCACCTGGGCTGGCGATGGGGGACACTCACTCTGCCATGCCCTGCTCCATGTTGAGGTCCATGCCACCATCCATCAAGGACCCATCCTCGGAGAAGGCTGCCCGAGCCATCGAGCTCATAGAGTGGTAACTGGCCCCATATACTGCCAAACTAAAGCCTAGGGCCAACTGCAGAACGAGAAAAAGAGTATCAAAAGCTGCTCGGCACTGACCCTGTACACTCACTTCCAGGATGGGGATATGTTGTTTTAACTCCAGCACAGTGGCTGCGCCTTAAATCTGCTATTTCAGCCAGCAACTGCAACTCGGCAGTGACTGGCCTGCTTCTCTAGCAGCAGCCTGGCCACTCGGGTCACAGCCTGGCGGGAAGTCTGTTCCCACAGGCGCCAGCCAGCTCTGCCTCTGCCACTAAAGGTAGCTTTAACTAAATCTCTATTCTAATTATAAATAAAACTCAAGAGTCAAAGGCTGGGGTGAAAACCTGCTAGCTCAGAGGCTGAGTAGCAACTAGCTAACCTCTCCTTGCTGACATCTCCCAGAGAGCCTCCTTCAGCTCTGCCAAACAAACAAAGCCACACCACTACAAATCCCTCCCTCCCTACTTCTGGTGCCTCTCTCTCTCCCTCTGATGCTCTATGATTACTTCCTGTCAACTAGTTGCTAACTCAGCCTCCTGACCCAAGGTTAATTTTATTGAATTAACGCAGATGCGCACTTGGGTTTCACAGTGTGACTGAATATCCCCCAACAAGGATACTTACCCAGGCCCCAAATGAGGCGGATGAATAGAAGAAAACCAAGGTCACAAGGCAGTATATGGCCTATGAGCAAACACAGGATCAGGCTGGAATTGACAGCTACCCCCAAATTACTGGCTTTCCTCAACCCTGACTAAGAATTGGGCTAGACTAGGAGGACGAAACCAAGCGGTAGAAGGGCCCTGCTTCCTGAGTCAGACAACTCTTAACCCGAGTCAGTCCAGGAAAGAAGCCTTAGTGTAGTGTGAGGACAGCCAGACTCAGCTGGGACTCATTGCTTCATTTCATTTTGGGCTTTTTCCCCTTCATTTCTTCATTTTGTTTCTAATTCTAGTTCACACTTCCTCTGTGCCTGGCACCTTTTTTTTTTGTGTTTGTTTGTTTTTGAGGTAGGGTTTCTCTGTGTAACAGCTCTGGCTGCCCTGGAACTCACTCTAGACCACGATAGCCTCAAACTCACAGAGATCCACCTTGCCCTGCCTCCCAAGTGCTGGGATTAAAGGTGTGCGCCACCACCGACCAGTACCTGGCTACTTTTTAAAAAATGTTTTAAAATATATTTTATGCATCTAGTGTTTTGCCTGTATGTATGTGCGCCACATGTCTGCTTGTGTGCCTGGTACCACAGAGGTCAGAAGAGGGCACTGGATCCTCTGGAGCAGATGGCTGTAAACTACCATGTGGGTGCTAGGAATGGAACCCAGGTCCTCTCTCTTAACCACTCAGCTCTGGATACTGGGGTGGTGGGGGGGCAGGCAGTGCTGGTGATCAAACATAGGCAAGGGCTCTACCACTGAGCTACACTTTCTGTTTTCACTTCTCTTTCCTTGAGACTGGAGTCTTGCTTTGTTGCTCAGGTTATCCTTGAACCCTCTAGCCTCAGTCTTTCAAGTAGCTAGAATTACAGTTATGTATCACTATGACTGGCTTCTCTCATCCCTCCCCCCTCTTTCTGAGATGGGGTTTCTATGTAGACCAAAGCAAACGTCAAGCTTCCCGTCCTCCTGCCTCAGCCTACCTCGTGTGAGGATTACAGGCTTGTGCTTTCACGCCTAGCTTTTCGTTTCTTTACAACATTCTCTTTTGGAACCTTGGCTGTCCTCACCAGCACTCCTAATCAGATAGCCCTGAGGACACTGGAGCTACTAAAGGGCACAGAAAACACGAGGCAGGCAACTTACATTGGCTCCCAGTATGATCCTCAGGTAAAACTTGAGAGTTTCTTTGTTCTCTTCAAATATCTGCTTCTTGCCTCTTGTACCCACTTTGCCTTTGGGCTGCAGAGGGATGATGAGATGCTGTCAGCTTTTTCGCCTCACTCCTCACACCCGCTTAGTTATCTGCGCCTCAGCGAAGTCCTCATCGTACTCTGTCAAACCTAGCAGTCCCTGAGATGACTTCCACTCTAGCCCATCCTCCCCCTACAGTCTAGACACCATCTTTACCCCCAGCTATGATCGCCCAATGCTGAAATAACCCAAACTACATTCATGCCTTCTTTGGCTCTCCTGGTAAGGTTCAGGTTTGGACTAAGGACCTCTCCGAAGGGACTCCAGGGGAACTTAATGGCGTCCCTCTCCAGCTTATGGGGGTGGGGGGGTAGTTCAGATCTGGAACTACAACTGCGCCCCCCCCCCCCGACTCCTACACTAGTTCTGTATATTCCTGCGCCACTACTCGCCCCGCAACCCACTCGCTCTACCACAGTCCATTGGACGGCGCCCCTCTCTGGCCCAGTGCCTTATGTTTTCACTTTCCCAACACCAGGAAAGCTTGCCGGTGCGGGCCCCGCCCTCCCCATCCTTCTTACCGCCATAGTGCGAAGCAAATACCCAGCCACGGAAACAAGGGCGAGTAACTGGAACTGCAGTCAGTAGACACCACATCGGCAGCCCATGCACTTCCGGTACAGACCGAAGTCGTCAGGATTCTGGACGGAAGTGGATTCCATTTCCTTCCCAGGCCCCGCCCAGGGGTGATGGGACTACACTTCCCAGAAAGCCTTGCGTGGGGGCGGAGACGGCAGAGAGGCGATGGCGGACTCACTGCCCCTGGAGGTGAGAGGAAGCGGTCCTCAGGCCTGGGTCGGGGACAGGCCCCGCCTTCGGGGTCCCGAGCTTTGGGGCAGGGCTGTCTGACAGCTCGCCCGGCACCTCCCGCCAGGCGGAAACGAGCCGCCCGGCGAATCCCAGGACCTGCAAACTCTGGGTAACAGCCCGCTTTGGGGCCACTTCGACCCCTTCGGGTGGGATACCATCCTCTCCTTACCCGTTGGCCCCAGAAGATGACTACTCTGTCCCCTCAGGAGGACAGACTCTCTAACCATCTCCTTCCCTTGAGATGGCCGTTGCCTCCCGCTCAGTTCTAGAAGATGTCCGCTCCACCGTCCCTGAAGGGTAATCAATTTTATCCCGGTTGGCCCCTCGGAATGGTCGCTGCGTTTCCCCCGCCCCTCCCCCACCGTCCTCGCAGTTGGAAATAGACTGCTCCCTCCCCGTCAGTTCTGGGGACAGCAGCCAAGGTCTTTAATCTAAGACATGCCCGCTACCTCCCCAGTGATGGCTGCCCCAGTATTTTTCACCCCGTGGGATGTTCCGTTAGTCAGAGGCAAGAGTACTCTGCTCTCATGGGCAAGGAGATACAGATACAGCCTTTGTGTCTAGTATCTTTTTTGAAATGGCCTCTCAATTTGTTTTTTTTCCTGGGAGTTGGCAGCCCCCTCCCATTAACCCAGAAAGGCCACTTTCCCATGAGTCCTAGAATGCACCCTCTCCTTAGCATAAATAGAACCTGCAATGACATCCTATTCCCTTTTGGCCCCAGAGGTTATCCTCATTCCTGTAAATCCAGTAGTAGTCCCTTGGGGTGGGTTCCTGGGATGACCACTCCACCATTGTCTCTACCTCTTTTAATACCAGAGAGGCTACTCCATTCTTAGCTTACTGAATTATGACCCTTCCCATGAAGACATGTTTCCCTTTCTCTTTGCTCCCATGGCTTATCATCCCAGAAGATAGGGCAGCCACTCTCTTAGCCCAGTCTTCCCTCCTAGCCCCCTAGGGATAGGGGCTTGGTCCGTCCAGCCCCGTCAACACTTCTTCATACCTCTCCTCTCTGGTCCTAGTCCTTCTCCTCTCAGTAATAATCTGCTTCATCTCCCACCCCTTCCCTGAGCAAACCTTTGGTGAAAGTAGGGATAAAGGACTCTATTTTTAATCCAGCAGAGACTGGCTGAATTCTGCCTATGTGCTTAGCATCCGAGGAGAGAAGGAGAGAACACAATGGGCTAGTGAAGTCACTGCAGAAGGACTTCCCAGAAAGAGCTTCACATAAGGAAAAGGAAATAGACTTGCTGTATTGGTAGGGAGGATGGACTGGGGATGTTCTGAGACCAGCAGACCCAAGCATGGAGGCTGGCGATGTTGACCCAGGAGTGAGGATTTTGTTCTGAGATTATTGGGGATAAAAACGGAAGGTTTTTATCAGGGGTAGTGAAACTGGACACAACTTTTTGGAAAATTAACTCTGTGACTATATAGAATGGACTAACAAGGATGAACATAGAAACGAGGAGGCTGTAAAAGGAATCTAGGTCTAGGGGGATAAACTTTAGAGCTATTAGGATGATGAAGTTGCAGAAGTAGAAATGTTAATAATGGCCATCTGACAGCCATTTATGGATCATCTAGGTCCCTATAAGACTAATTTACATTATTGTTATTGTTATTATTTGGGGTTTTTTTTGAGACAAGGTTTCTCTGTGTAGTTTTGGTGCCTGTCCTGGATCTCACTCTTTAGACCAGGCTGGCCTCGAACTCATAGATCCATTTGCCTCTGCCTCCCAAATGCTGGGATTAAAGGCATGCGCCACTGCCACCCGGCTAGATTATTTTTAATGTCTTCATTTTTCATACGTATAGAAACTGAAGCTCAGAGAAGTCACATACTTTGGAGCTATTCACCTGGAAAGTAGTAGAGCTAGGATTTGATGAGTCTGAGTTAGCCTTGCCTGAAACTTCAGTTTTGTGAGTAAAGAATGGAAGATCACTAGTCCAAGTATCACTAGGAACCTCAGATTGGGAGTACAGTTGGCAGTAAGAGGTAAAGTTGGACTGAGGGCAAAAATAGCAATTTGGGTTGAGATTAGGTTGAGAACTATTTGAGTGTAGGACCCTGTAGACAATTGGCAGTATGACACTAATGCTTGGTTAACCTGACAACCTAAAGCTATTACATTGTTGACTGTTCTTGTACAAGTAAACAGAAAATCAAAAGATTGAACCTTGGGAGTCATGGGGAATGCATGGGGACACTTAGCATGGTAAAGGCCTAGAAAACCTTGCCATAGGACTTGAGGAGGGAAGACTCTAAAAGAAAAGGACAGTTAATAGGAGATTGTTCCTGCCTCCCAAGTGGCCCCTTTCTTAGTCCTAGATAGAGCCACCAACCTCACCACCTATAGACTCATAGAGCACAGTGAGAGGGAAGAGCAGTGTCTCCCAAACTTGCTGTGCTGTCCTACCTTAACAGCTAGCTGAGAAAACAAACTGATAATAGAGAAGATGGGAAAAGAATAGGGGGTCCCAAAGCCAGGCATCATGGCTCACACTCACAATTCTATCACATGGGATATAATTCTACTAAGGCAGGAGAATGGCTGTGTGTAAGTCTGGGTACAGAGTGAGTTCCAGGACAGCCTGGGGTACATAGTGAAACCCTATCTAAATGAGAAAAAAAAAAAAGAGTAGCATTTGACTTATGTTCTAGATCTATGGAAAGTGCTATGATTTGTAACTTCTCACAAGAACCTATTTAAATCTCAGTTGCCATTTCACAGACAAAAGCAAGGCTCAAGGAAGTCAGCTAGCCAAGTGGAAACTTGGACTAGGTTTCTCTGGCCCCAGTGCCAGACCGTTTCTACCAAACTGGGCATGAATTTGGCTGCTTCTTACTTGGTACAAACCTGAACTCAGAAGTGGCTCATGTTAGGTCCATTCTGAGGAGATATGCCTGGAGGCTGGAGAAGGGAAGCATGAAGCTTTCATGAAGCTTTGGGTCCAAGATGGACTAGAAGCCAATGCTCCGATGCCCTCAGACCCAGTTCTAACAGCCCCCAAACACCTTATCTTTTTCCCTCAGATGCTCACATATATCCTGAGCTTCCTACCTCTGTCAGATCAGAAAGAGGCATCCCTTGTGAGTCGGGCTTGGTACTGTGCAGCCCAGAATGCCCTTCGAGAGGTAAGGTACCCACCTCACTTGATTCATTCTGAGTTGTCCCTCACTTCAACTTGCTCATGGCCTTGTTTATGCATCATCTATCCATCCATCCATCCATCCATCCATCCATCCATATATACTCATACACATCCTATGCATCATCTATCCATCCATCCATCCATCCATCCATCCATCCATATATACTCATACATTAATACATACAAGTCTTGGGGTTCAGAGCTTGGGCTATATAGGTGAATAAAACCTAGTCCCCCTAAGAAGCACATTGTCCAATGAAGGAAAAAGACAGTTAGCATGAATAATTGTGATGCTGTGTGTTCAGTACCATAGCACTCAAGTAAAAGGTGAAACAAAGATAAGGGTATCCAAACAAGATCATCCAGTAGCATCAGGGAAGGCCTGAGAGAATAGGATGAGAGTACATGTTGGTCGTCTAGACCTGGCATCAAGGTGTGGAAGTTCTGACAACAGTCACACAAATTCCAAATAACTGGATTGAGTTTTATGTGGGGGATGGTAGGAGAGGAAACCAGAATGTGGCCAAGATTGCAAGGTGGCAGATGTGCCAGGTAGCAGAGCTTGGGCTTCTTCCAGTTACTGTTGTGGGGCCTTTAAGAAATGTGAAGGCAGGGCTGGAGAGATGGCTCAGCAGTTAAGAGCACTGACTGCTCTTCCGGAGGTCCTGAGTTCAATTCCCAGCAACAACATGGTGGCTCATACCCATCTATAATGAGATCTGTTGCCCTCTTCTGGTATGCAGGCAGAATACTGTATATATAATAAATTAAAAAAGAAGAAGAAGGAAAGACAGGGCTGGAGAGATGGCTCAGTGTATAAGAGCACTGACTGTTCTTCCAGGGGACCTGGGTTCAATTCCAGTACCCACATAGCAGCTCACAACTGTCTGTAACTCTGGTACTGGGGTACTAAAACACCAATGTATATATAAAATAAATAAGTTATTTAAAAAAAGAGAGAGAAGGGAAGAAATGTGAAGGCAGACAAGAGACTGTGTGATGTGGACTCCAAAGTAGACTAGAGGGGTGAGACTGAGTATGGGGAGGCAGCCCAGCCAGGAGGGGAATGCAGACACCTGTACTATTGAAAGACAATGGTCTTCTGTTAATTTTGATTTAATTATCAGTGAGATTAAAGTTTTTTTTCCTCATTAGCAGTTTTGTCCTTTATCCACTTAACTGGTAGGGTCTTAGTAATTTGCTTTCCCATTTTATGAGCTTTTTATATATTAAAGATTAATTTTTATATATTTGTTAAAATATATTTCTCATATGTTTGCCCTTTCATTTTATTTGTAGATAGCTGTTTTATTTATGAGATGTTGTTGATTATTTTCTTTTTCTTTCTTCCATGGTTTTTAAAGATCCCTTGCCCTCCAGAGATTTCATCAGTGCATACTTGTATTTTTATTCTTTTAAAAAATACAACTGATTTCTAGAGTAGTGATTGGCTCAACAAAAATAAATTACTTCTGTTTTATGGTTTTAATGTTTTGTTTTCTTTCTTTTTTTTTTAGTTTAAATTTTTTTTGGACAGGGTCTTACAGTGTAGCCCAGGTTAGCCATGAACCACTAGCCTTAGCCTTCTAAGTGCTTAGATTATAGGCATGAGCCACCACACCCTGATTGGCTTTAACTTTTATCAGTGAGAAGTGTGTTTTATTTATGAAACTTATTTTAATTTATATGATAAAGTATGGAGCTGATCTGTTTGCTTTTCAAATAGCTCCTACATCATTTCTATCTAATCTTCTCTGTTAGGTTAGAAACCCCTCTGTTACATATCAAATGTATACGTGTAAGTAGAGTCTGTTGTTGGACTATCTATCTGGTATCATGGATCTTAATGTCAAAAGGAATTGTATTTTGGACTTGTTGAAAAATTTAGAATGAAAAATTTAGAGTATGAGATATCCAGTTGCCAAAATTCAGTTGATAATTGAATGTCTATGTGAGAAATTCAAGAGAAAGGTATGGGTAATAAATATAGACTCAGATGTAATTAAAGAATGAGTAGGGCAGGAAGTGTAGCTCAGTGGTAGAGTACTTGACTAGAATGTATCATGCCCTGGGTTTGATCCCCAGAACTGAAGAAAACAATGGATGGAAGTAAAGCCCCAAATCTGAGTAACTCCATGTAAGGGAAAAGTGTAACAAACAGAGGAATAGGAGACCAAGACTGGAGAGCATTTAAAACACCAAGTGGATGATTAATGATTTAAAATCCCATAGGGACTGGCAAAATAAAGAACAAATAGTGCTCATAATATATGTTATGCTGTTGAATGTGGTGGCACCTGCCTGTAATCCTAGCACTTGGAAGGAGAGACAGGAAGGTCAGGAGTTCAAGGTGCATTACCATGCTTGGCTGGGATACAATTCGATATATCGAGGAAATAGAGTGGAAGAGACATGTGGGTGTTAAGAGTGAGGGTAACTTGATCAAGGGTGGTAAGAGTTTAGGAGGCCCAGCAGATTTGGGGATAGATGGTGGATTCAGAATTGGATATTTTGTATCAGGGTTTCCAGAGGTTCATGAAGCAGTTGATCTCTAATATGGTTGAGGAAAACAATATGGATCAGAAAGTAGCTGGGACCAGGCCTGGTAGCACATGTCTGTGATCTCAGCCCTTGGTAGACTTAAGCAGAAAAATTGCAAGTTAGAGTTCAACCTGGGTAAGATTCTGTTTCACAAAACAACAAAAAGAAAAGATAGGACTGGAGAGATGATTCAGTAGAGTGGCTAAGAGTGCTGGCTGTGAAAAAAAAAATCCCTAGCACCTACGTTACCCTCTCCTGTAACCCCATTGCTGTGGCAGGCAGAGACAAGAGAATCGATGGGGTTTGCTGGCTGCTAGCCTAGCTCCAGGTTCAGTGAGAGACCCTGTCTCAGGGGAATAAGGCAAAGAGTGATAGAGCAGGACATTTAGTGTCCTCCTCTGGCTTCCACATGTACCCCTGCTCCACACTCATACAGCACATGCTCCCATACCAAAAACCCTATTGCCCCATAGGGTGAAGTATAGTGTGACAGAGAGCTCATGGAAGAGGACAAAGACTGTCCATGTGTATGTGTTATTAGGCAGAACAAGGCAGGGAGAACCTATTCATCTATGGTCTGGGTCTGTCTTTTGATAACTCCAGAGAGACCAATGAAAAACAGGCTAAAAGGCAAGAGGAGACCCAGGGGGCACATTGGAAGTAACACAAGGTTAATGGCTACAGCCTTTCCCTAGCAGGTGGCATGGTAAAGAGGACACTGTGAAAGGCTAAAGAGAAGCTCCTACATGGTAGTGACTTGCTGGAGGAGAACTGGGACCAGGAATGAGTGATTCTGACAGGAAGGAGGGGAACTAAATGGCCCAACATTGAGTGTCTCCTCATACTTCCTGGGGGAAAACTGGAAAGAGAAAATTTGGAGATGAGAAAAGGTGCTGTAGCATTAGGAGACTGAGGCAGGAGGATTGCTGTGATCACAAGGCCATCTTGGGCTACATAGTGAATTCAAGGCCAGCTTGAACTACATAACTAGACCCTTTCCCCAAAAACCAAACCCCAAATCTATTGTTCGTAGCCTCTGAGGAAGGACCAATGGAAAGACAAAAACAGCAGAATTCCCAGGAGATGAGGTGAGGAAAGCTCAGCAAGCCAGAAGAAAGGACTGTCTGAACCAAAGACTAGGAGTCAGAGGTAGGGTTCTGTCAGGAGCCAGCTAGCAAGCAGGAACGGACTTCCCACCTGATGGCTTTGGCTGCTTTTTGAAGAACAGTCCATTTCTTTCTTTTTCCCTTCCTTCCTTCCTTCCTTCCTTCCTTCCTTCCT